ATAAACTGTTATAAGCTGTTGACTTACTGATGCAAAATGAAAAGGTGCATTATCTTCGGAGATGTTTATTACTAGGAAACCAACCATTATCCTGTAAATAGAACTACTACGGTGCTGCTAATGTGCGAGAGACTGCATGATTCTTAGAAGAGCATCTTGGGTGAATACTGAATGAAAGGGCAACACTGTAGGAAGCCATCAGCATTGAGCTCTTTAGACATCTTGTTAAAATATCACTCTATTTACCCAAAGATCAGTAGGTCCAGAAAGTCTACTACAAAGTCTGAACGTTATTCATAATATCTCTCTTCGATGTTAATGCTGATATCACAGTGCGTGTACACCGTGATGTTATTTGTAATATCGCTTAGATATTGCTGCTACTATCACTCTGGGTGTATACCCTGTGCGCCCACACTCTGTGATATTACTCAAAACATCTTTGATAATGCTGCTAATATCACAGTGGTTGCACATCCTGTGTGTATACCCTCTTTGATATTATTCATATTTTCAATATTGCTGCCAATATCACAGTGAGTGTACACTCTCTGTGAATTTATTTATAATATCTTCGCTATTTCTACTAATACCACCGAGGTTGCATGCTCTCTGTGATTTTATTCATAATATCATACACCCTATCATATTACTCATAATATCATTGATGTTGCTGCTAAGATCACAGTGAGTGTACATCTTGTAATGTTACTCATATCTTCAATATTATTGCTACTATCACAGTGGGTATACACCCTGTGATATTAATCATAACATCTTACATATTACTGCTAATATAGTTGGTGTACACCTAGTGTGTACACCCACTGTGATATTATTAATAACATATTCAACATCACTGCATATTATCACAGTGGGTATACACCCTGTGTACCTGTGTGCACCCTGTAGTAACACACTGTGATGTTAATATATCAATGATATTTACCGATCTCATATCATCTTGTGTTAATACACAATGATATTAACACAATATCTATGAAATTGATATAATCTAGTGTTAACACAGTGGTAATACACCATGATATTAATACAATATTGATGGTATTTATATAAGATCATTTATTGTTTACATGCTATGATATTAATAAAATATCGATGATTTAATTTAATCAGTATGTAAAAGGAATTTTTAAAAGGCATCATTTATATAAGCAATAGAGTGAATGTATGTCATGTCTAGTAAGTAATTTTATGGGGAAAAATTTAATGTCACCTACAGTGTATTTGCTCAGTGATCAGCAGGACAGCATTCTAAGAAACTTCAGGACTTGAGAGAAGACCATGAAATGCGGAGTCCAAACTGCCTGAGCTCAAACTCTAGTTCAGTCACTTAGGAGATAGGGGAAGCTACTTAGATTAAATATGGTTAGGTGCCCAACCAGCATCATTTATTCCTCCCTTCCTCCTTCCCAATCAAACCCTAAATTTGCTCAGGCACACATGTGTCCCCACTAGAACCCATAGGGATGAAACTAAAGGTAAAGGTGACATCCCAAAACCCTTTGCCAATGGCTAGGTTAGGAATAGGCATATGGATGATTTGAACCAATGAGAAACAAGCAAAGGTCTACACGGGATTTAAGGAAAGTTCTTTCTCCTGGGATAGTCCAGAAGAGACCCTCTCCTCTACACGGCCGATGTACAGATTTACAGATATGAGACCTGCATGTATGACATTTGTTCAATAGCTGGTCTTAGCATGAAGTAGTCACACAGAGGGAAACGCCACAGGGAAGTGAAACCAGAACCAATTCCCTGTCTCTAGACTTTCAGATCTGTGAGCCAAGAATCCCAAACAGGGTAAAAGAATTTGATGGGGCTTTTTGATACTTGTGGCTGAAAGCACCCCCCTAATCATTCTGAGCCAGTTTTTCATCTGTGAAAGTCAGCTGGATAGCTGTATTACATTCTTGCAGGAATTCATGATAATACACATAAAGTATTAGGCACAGTGCTTGTCACAGAGCAAGCTTTTAACAAAGGACACCAGAAGTGGGGTGTTTGTTGTCTACACACTGAATACCTGCTACTAATACAGGGAAAAATTAAGCAAATTTTTAACAGCCTGGATTTTTAATTGCTTGCATTTTCACATCAGATGAGTTGGTGGTATTAGTGTCCAGGGAACACACTGTGATCACTGAGGGTTTTCAATCTTTTTGAGATCCTCAAAAGACAAAGAATGGAATAATAATGCAATAATAATGCAGTGGATGTCACACACACATACACATAGGCCCAGAAAATAAACTAATTTATCACAGTATAACATATTGGACAATTCCAAAATTAATTAAACTTAAAAAAAAAATCCAGTAGAATATATAAAATTTATAGTATAAGCTTAGTGATAATTCCTTAACTGAGAAAGGTTGAAATTTGGAACCTATCACAAGGAATTAGACAATTAGAAAAAACAACCACCCAATATAATGATGATAAAATTCTAAAATTTTTAAATTTTAGTTGCTATTTTTTTCAAACATCAACAACAATGAAGCTAAAAGAAAGGATAAAATATTGATTAAGCACAGGGGCTTTGGGTATAAAACCTGAATTTGAAACTTGCCCCTAATGTTTTTAACTATGTAACCTGGGGCAAGTTTCTTAGCCTTTCTTAACCTCAATTTTCAGATTTATAAAATGTAGATAGCAAAACTCTACCCTGACTTACGTTTAAATCAAATAAGATGATCTAGGCCAAGTTCTCATATAGGTGCCAAATATATACTTAGCACTTAATAGAAAAAAAAAAAACAAAAAAAATATTTTTGAGACAGAAAATTAGGAAAGATAAAAGACTTGACTAACAGCATCAATCAATCTCATCTAATTGACAGTAGTAGAACACTCCACTTAACTACAGCTATTAGGTGGACACATTCTTTTGAAATGCACACAAGATATTTACCAAGAAAGGCTACATTCTGGGCTGTAATACAGTCTCAATACATTTAAATGGATTTAAATCATACTAAGCATATTCAATGACTACAGTGAAATTAACTTAAAATGATCTGCAGTAACACATATGAAAAAAATCAGAAATATTTGGAAACTAAATAATATACTTCTAAATAACCCTGGGTCCAAAGAAGATTTCAAAAGACAATTAGATCATATTTAGAAAGGAATGAAAATGAAAACATGAAATACACAAATTTGTGAGAAAGATCTAACAGTTTTTAGAGGAAAATATAGCACTAAATTCCCATGTTTAAAAACAGGTAATTCAAATCAATGACATTAAGGAACTATAAAAGGAAAAGCAAATACAACTGAAATAAAAGAAACAATAAGAACCAGAGAAGAAATCAGAGACCAAACAGCAGGTTCTTGAGATGGTCAATAAAATTCATAAGCCTCAAGCTGGAGAGACCAGTGGAAAAAGTCAGAAGACACAAATTACCAATGTGAGAAATCAGATCGGGGGATAACTGTAGACTCTGCAATATTAAAGGATAAGGGAATCTTATGAACAACTTTATTACGGTAAATTCTATAACTCTGATGCAGAAGATAAATTTCCTGAAGAACACAAACTACCAAAGAAGAAACAGACCATTTGAATGGTCCTGCATTCTATTAAAGAAATTATTCAATATTAAAAATCTTCCCTCAAGGAAAATTGTAGGCCAGATGGTTTCACCGGTGAATTTTACCAAATGTAAAGAAGAAAATGCTGAACTTATGCAAATTATTCCAGAACAGCAAAAACCAAAACAAAAACAAAACCAGCTTTGAAAAAGAACGAGATTGGAGTTTTATCTGAAGACTTATAAAACTACAGTAATAAAAATGGTATGATGTTGGCATAAAAACAGACAAATCAATGAAACAGAATAGAGTCTACAAATAAATAAACCCAAAAATAAATTGATTTTCAACATAGGTGCCAAGCAGTATGACAAAGAAAAATCTGTTCAACAAACTCTACTGGAAAAACTGATCAGATATAGGCAAAAATATGACTTAATCTTTACCTTACACCCTAAACACATATGGAAAATAACTAACTCAAAATGGTTCTTAGGCTTGAATATAACAGACAAACAATAAATCTTCTAAAAGAATGCAGAGGAGAAAATCTGTGACCTTGGGTTTGGCAAAGATTTCTTGAACTTGACACCAAAAACACAAACTATAAACATTTTAAATTAATAAACTAGACTTTAGTAAAATTAAAAACTTCTGCTACTCAGAAGACACTGTTAAGAAAATGAAAAGGCTGAGAAAGTAGTTGCAAAATACATATCTGGTAAAAGACTTGTATCTAGAATCTATAAAGATCATTTGGAAGTCATTTATAAGAAGAGAACCCGATTCAAAATGGCCAAAATATTTGAGCAGACACTTCGTCAAAGAAGATACATGGGCTGGGTGCAGTGGCTCATGCCTGTAATCCCAGCACTTTGGGAGGCCAAGGCAGGTTCATCATGAGGTCAAGAGCTCGAGACCATCCTGGCCAACATGGCGAAACCCCATCTCTACTAAAAATACAAAAATTAGCTGGGCATGGTGGTGCATACCTGTAGTCCTAGCTACTCAGGAGGCAGGAAAATCGTTTGAACTCGGGAGGTGGAGGTTGCAGTGAGCTGAGATTGCACCAACACACTCCAGCCTGGCAACAGCGGAATTCTGTCTCAAAAAAAAGAGAGAAGATATATGGAAGTCAAATAAACACATTAAAAAAATCATAAGGGAAATGAAAGTCAAAATCACAATGAGATACAGAGATACAACTGTGTACCCAACAGACTGTCTAAAATTAAAAACTGCCAAACCAAATTTTTTCAGAGATGTCAGGCAAAAGCCACTGGCATAAGCCACTGATAGAAACATGAAATATTACAACCACTTTGTAAAACAGCATGGTAGTTTTCTAAAAGTGTTAGACATATATGACTGTGTGACCTAGTCACTCCAATCCTAGATATTTGTCCCAAGGAAATAAAAATATATGTTCACAAGAAGACTTGCACATAAATGTTCATGATAGTTTTATTTGTAACAGCCAAAACCAGGAGATATTAAAATGTTCATCAACAAGTGAGCAGATAAGCCAATTGTGGTGCATCCATATAACATAATTCTACACAGTAAAGGAATAAACTACTGATACACGATCAACATGAATGAATTCTGATATTAGTATGCTGAGCAAAAGTGCAAGACAAGAAATGAATATAGACAGTATGATTCCATTTTTTATAAAATTCTAAAAAATGTAAACAGTCTATAGTGTAAAAATGTAAATTAGTCTATAGAAAAACAGATTAGGAATTTCCAGGGACGAGGGTGAGATGGACAGGGAGGAGGAAGAGGGGGGATTACAAAGCAGCACAAGAAAACATTTTGGGGTAATGAATATATACATTGTCTTAACTGGGGAGATGGTTTCATGGGTGTATGCACGTACATAAATATGTGCTGTTTATTACATGTCAATGACATGGGATAACATTGATTTTTCTTTTCATTTTATAATTGCATAATGGAAATAATATTGGCTTTAGAGTCCGACATATGAGTTGAATACTAGCTCTGCTCTTATATATAATGCAACCTTAAATAAATTACTTACCATTTGAGTCTCAGCTTCTATAGGTATTTATGTAGTAGTAAGAATATCATATGTGAGGTTAAGAATATATATGTCAAAGGCTTTCTGTATTAAATACGATAACATGTATATTTTTCTTCTTTATCCCTAAACCCAGTCCCATTACCCTCTCCTTAATGGGTCCCCTTTTTGTATTTGACATGTGGCCTTAAATATGTTTGTATGTATGCATGCATATGCTTTTAAGTAATTCAATGGCATTGTGCTAAAACTCTTGTTTCCCATCATGCTAAATTTTAAGGATCTACCCTTATTTCTGTATATATGTCCAGTACTTTGCTTCTAACTGCTGTACCATATTCCACATTAAGTATCCAGCAAAGTTAGTTCACTGACTTCCTAAGAGGCAGACATCTGTGTGCCAATTGTCTACTACTGCAAACAATAATGGAATAAATATCTTAGTACTTGTTTTTTTGGGTGGATCAGAACAAGTTCTCTTGGCTATATACCCAAAAGTGCAAATACTGAACTATAGGATGACATATGATGAATTTTACTATCTCAGTACTCCTAGGTTGCTTTCCAAAATGGCTCAATCAGCTTATACTTTTACCAGCACCTGAAGTTAATGAACTTACTCATTTTTACCAATGGAATGGATATAGTATCTCACTTTCATTTGCATTTCTCAGATTACTGGGAAATTTCAGCATCACTTTCTATTCTTATTAGCTACTCAGCTTTCCCCTTTGTAAATTACATTCTCATCTTTTGTTCATTTTTATATTGAGTTTCCTTTTACTTGTTGATTTACAATTCCTTGGAAAGTCTCTCCATTAATGTCATTAATTTTATGCATTGCTAACATTTATTTCAGTCTTTCCCCAGCCTATTAACTTTAAGGTGTCATTCACTGACTAGAAATCTTGCATTTGAATATAGTTCTAGCCATTCTTTCTTAGCCCAATTCTTTAAAAAATCATTTTTGGGTCATTCGGAAGAAGTACAGTTCCTTACCTATATCTCAAACATAATTCTCCTACATTTTCTTCTATGAGCTTTAAAGTTTTACTTTTTAAACCATCTTTTTAATCCCTCTGGAGTCCAACTTTTTATGTGCAATGCAGGCATTTATTTTTCTCCATTCAGTGAGCCAGTGTTTCAATACTATATGATAAAGACTTTGCCTTGTCTCCATTACATACGTGGTGCATCTGTATCACTTATCGCCTACATATTTTTTAATAAAAAGAAGACTGCTTCTGGAAGAGTGATGACCAAAAATAAAAAAGAGCATGAGAAATATCCCTGCCTTTCCACTCTCAAGAGGGTTGCTGGTGACACTGCTCACTATGGGATCAGCCTTCTGAAGCCACATGTAAATAGGAAAGCTTAAACACTCCTAGCAGCCTCAAATGAATTTTTTTGATCAAGTATAAAGAAAGAAACAGTCTTATTAGATCAAGTGCATCAGATATATCAGACGAATTCTTAAAATGCCTTCAATTTTTAATGGTATAATAATGTGTTTCTATGTCATATTAGATCAATGTTTTGAAGTTCACAATGTATTATATATCACATCATAACTATACTTCTGCATTAGCTATTTAGGATGTTAGTCAACCCGTTTTTCACAAAATTTTCCAATTTCCCCAACGCTTCTTAATTCATGAATTGATTTAGGGTTCTTGACATTACATAATATTTAACTGGTAAATGTTTTGTAAGCAAGGAAAAATTTAGGCAAAAACAGGTCTGATTTGCTGCTTGGTTCTGTATTCTACAGAGTCTTTAAAAAAGAATTTTTGAGTGATTACCTGGCTGAGACCCCACGCATTACTGGGTTAGGATTTATACGAAGAGGGAAATCTCCTTTAGTGAAAGTCATGATCTATTTGTCATTGCCTTTTGTTCAAAGGAAAAAGCACCAGAGACTTCAAGAACTATTACACCGTGCAAAAATGAAAACTATGCATTTGATCATGGATCTCTTTACAGGGGTCATAGCGCACTATGGACTATACACTTAAATGAATATTTCTGCCTTGCTTTTGGATTTGACTGAAAATTATATTGGAATCTTGTTATTGTTTCATTGCCCAATGAGGCTGAACAAGTGGAAAATAGAATCAAGCAAGCTAGTATTTTCCTTAGAAACTGGAAAGTTGTTTTTTTATTCCTGAGACAGGGTCTCACTCTGTCACACAGGCTGGAATGCAGTGGTATGATCACAGCTCACTGCAGCCTCTACCTTTTGGGCTCCAGTGAGCCTCCCTCTGTAGCCTCCAGAGTAGCTGGGACCACAGGTCCATGCCATTGTGCTCAGCAATTTTTTTTTTTTTTTGTAGAGAGGGGTTCTCACTATGTTGCACAGGCTGGTCTCAAACTACTGGCCTGATGTGACCCGCCTTGGCCTCCCAAAGTGCTGGAATTGCAGGTGTGAACCTCTGTGTCTAGCCTAAAGTGCTACTCTTGTCTAGTACCAGAACTCAGACTTTCCATTCTCAATGCCCTTGGATGTACTCGAGCTTTAAGAGCAGAAGATCACACTAGATCTATCTAACAACACTTAAGCAATGTTGATTACACACAGATTTCTTGGGAGTGTCACAGTCAGAACTGGTTGTCCTGAATCTACAAATCTACAAGATGGAATTTATAGTTTTTGTTTTGCTCTTGCAATAATTCACCCTTACAGGACAAAAACAACTGTGACTTGTGTTTTAGTTTACATAGATGATATGCGGGATTGTCAACATTCATGTTCTATAGTATTTTAGAAAGTTCTAAGTAATGTTCTGTTTTGGAACAAAAGAACATTATTGCCACCTCACAGCGGGATATATGGAAGGCTATGCCGTACCAGGAAGAAAATGTTAGGATTGAATGAGGCACTGTGTCTCACTCCCTTTAGTTCTCTGCAACACAGTGACTATTCTAGAGTGTAGGAGCACTCCAAATAATGGCCAACAACCCCAATATGTTGTGAAAGCACAATAGATCTACTTGAGAAAAAGATACAAAGAATATGCATGTTACATGTCACAATGAATATGAATGCACATGTTATATGTGTCACATATATCTACATATGACAGAATTGGATATAGAAAATACACCATGTCAGCTATGTAAATTATAAAACATGAGTCACAGTTCTTGTCGCTCTATAAAGGTGAATTACTGTAAGTTTTTCACAGATGTTGAACCAGAAACTTCCGATGTGTTCATGTGGAAAGACAATTTACTTCACACACAAAAAAACCCCACAACATTTTTTTTTCTCCTAAAGTGTTAGTGAAACATGGGTATCATTATGCTCTTTGGTCTCACACCATCTGGAATATTTCTGAAATCTAGATAAGTGATACTAGAGAATCTGTTTTGATATTCTACAGAAAAATTTTTAAGTTAAGATAGGATATTACATGGGAAAAAAATATTAAGCTCTAGATGTCCTAACTATAATTTTTATTAAAATAGCATAGAAAGCCCCCACATTGTATATTTAATTATTTCAGTATATTTTGTTACTTTTACTCATCAACTATATATTTTATGAATGGTTTGAGACATCCACAGGGGGTCTTCCCATATCTGCAGATCAGGGGAGACTACTGAACACTGAAATAGATTTAATGATCCCTGCTTCTGTTCCTTGTAGCACTTTATTCATAGCTTTTGTCATTATAATACTTACCGTACCCTTTCATAATTAATGATATACACATCTATTTTCTCCTACAAGAGGAAATAATCCTTCTCGCTCTCTCACAGTGCCTAGTGCAGGGCCTGGTATGAAGTAGCTATTCAATAATTTTAAAACAAAATTGAATGGGTGACCCCACAGACAAGACAACAGGTAAGAAAGACTGGGTATTGTAACTGTTCATGTCCTTGAAGTACATCCTGTAAGCGAGAAAGAAAAAGGTCTAAGAATGAGGCAGAAAGTTAAAATAAAACCATGAAGTGATGAAAAGATGTGGACATAGGAGGAAAATAAATGGCTTAAATACAACCAACGATTCATCACAACTACTATTAAAAGTGAATTTAATTAGAAGCAGGACTACTGCCATAGTCAAGAATCTCATTCCTGAATGATCAAGAATTTCTTGTTTAAGTACATAATTTTCTTGTATGCACGCTTTAAGACAAAACAATGGGAAAGATGTTATTGATAGAGACCTGCCACAGAAAGAAACCCAATGGATACTGGTAACTACTCTCTTTAGAAAAAATCTCCAAGACAGCATGCTTTTACTATCAGTCTGGTGAAGGTGGAGGTGGCTGGCATAAATAGTAACAAAGAAATATTCTTTGAGTCCCCACGTAACACGAAAGGCCATGCCAACAGTTTTCATAAATTACCACATTTTATTTGTATGAGTCAGATATCATGGTGACCATTTTACAAAGAGAAAAAATGAAGATTAGAAGGATTGAATGACTTGACATGGTAGCAAAATGAGTGAGGCAGCTTTGGTCAAACCAAATTTTGGGTCTCATCTTAGAATAGTAGCCACCTCCTTTGGTGCTTGGAGACACTGTTACTCACCTACTGCATCATATTAAAATTATTCCCATTTTAAGATACTTTGTTTAGGCAACTTCACATTTGCTAAACTGCAGTTTGAGGATTCCTTTCACATGAAGTTGGAGGATCTGGCTGTACTCTTTGGGCATCTGATGGAAACCACGTTTAGGTAGCATGTTGTCATAATAGTGATGGCTGACAGGCGTGTCTTCTACAGTTTTAGAGAAGGGCCAGAATCCATACAGCTTCACGTTTTCACACAGTTCCACTGCAACACTTGTGATCATCAAGCCGGTGGACAGGCGGTATGCGGTCACACCTTTAGTTCTCCAGAAAAGCGCCAGATGTTTCAGGTACTTGGGATGGAAAAACAGAACCTTTTGTCTTGCTTTAGACTCTTCGAGTGCATAGTACACTTTAAAAGACGTACCCGTGTTGGCCCTGAAGGAAAACGCTGGCAGAAGAAGAAACGCATCTCCATAGGTTGCGATGTCCTCCAGAAATAGGGCTTTCTTTTCCTTTAAGTTCCCATACCTGACAAATTAAAAACAAATTATAGTATTCCCAAGAATAATCATCAGAGTAGCAGTTTTGATAACATGAATTTACCATTGGTCAAAAAACTGAACCATTTATATACTGTATATGAAACAGAGTGTGGACTCAGATAAAACTCATTCAAGTAAGCATTATGTCAGTATCAATGGTGTATCTTCTACTATCTTTCTTGGAATCCTTTCAATTTCCGCTTTCTTACTGGGCTACACTCATACTGAACAGACATTTCTTGTATTATTTTCTATTTCTTTCAGTAATTTGTTCTAAAGTTGCTTTTTGTTCTTGAAACACCTTCCAAATGTATAACGATAAAATATTTCTTGAGGCCAGGTACAGTGGCTCATGCCTGTAATCCTAGCACTTTGGGAAATCGAGGTGGGTGGATCACAAGGTCAGGAGATTAAGACCAGGCTGGCCAACATGGTGAAATGCCATCTCTATTACAAATACAAAAATTAGCTGGGTGTTGTGGCACATGCCTGTAATCCCAGCTACTCCAGAGGCTAAGGTATAAGAATTGCTTGAACCCAGTAGGCGGAGGTTGCAGTGAGCCAAGATTGTGCCACTGCACTCCAGTTGGGGTGATAGAGTGAGACTTCATCTTAAAAAAATAAAAATAAAAACTATTTTTTCAAGTATAGCATGCATATCAATACATTTTTAAAACTCATTTAGCTGCACACTTATGATTTGTGCACTTTTTAATTGTACTTTAGGTTCTGGGAAACGTGCAGATCATACAGGATTGTTGCATAGGGACATACATGGCAAGGTGGTTTGCTGCCTCCATCCCTCTGTCACCTAATTCTCCCCAAGTTATCCCCCCCAACCTCCCCACCCTCCGCTGTCCCTCCCCTAACCCCCCCAACAGGCCCCAGTGTGTGATGTTTCCCTTCCTGTGCCCATGTGTTCTCATTGTTCAACACCCGCCTATGAGTGAGAACATGCGGTGTTTGATTTTCTGTTCTTGTGTCGGTTTGCCGAGAATGATGGTTTCCAGGTTCATCCACGTCCCTACAAAGGACATAAACTCATAGTTTTTTATGGCTGCATAGTATTCCATGGTGTATATATGCCACATTTTCCTTGTCCAGTCTATCATCAATGGGCTTTTGGGTTGATTCCAGGTCTTTGCTATTGTAAACAGGGCCGCAATGAACATACGTGTACGTGTGTCTTTATAATAGAATGGTTTATAATCCTTTGGGTAAATATGCAGTAATGGGATTGTGGGGTCAAATGGAATTTCTATTTCTAGATTCTTGAGGAGTCGCCACACTACCTTCCACAATGGTTGAACTAATTTACACTCGAACCAACAGTGTAAAAGTGTTCCTGTTTCTCCACATCCTCTCCAGCATCTGCTGTCTCCAGATTTTTTAATGATCGCCATTCTAACTGGCATGAGATGGTATCTCAAAGTGGTTTTGATTTGCATTTCTCTAATGACCAGTGATGATGAGCATTTTTTCATATGTTTGTTGGCTTCATATATGTCTTCTTTTGAAAAGTGTTTGTTCATATCCTTTGCCCACTTTTGAATGGGTTTGTTTGCTTTTTTCTTGTAAATCTGTTTTAGTTCTTTGTAGATTCCAGATATTAGCCCTTTGTCAGATGGGTAGATTGCAAACATTTTTTTCCCATTCTGTTGGTTGCCAGTTTACTTTAATGATTGTTTTTTTTTTTTTTTTTTGCTGTACAGAAGCGCTGCAGTTTAATTAGGTCCCATTTGTCTATTTTGGCTTTTGTTGCCAGTGCATTTGGTATTTCAGTCATGAAGTCCTTGCCTATGCCTATGTCCTGAACGGTTTTGCCTAGATTTTCTTCTAGGGTTTTTATGGTATTAGCTCTTATGTTTAAGTCTTTAATCCATGTGGAGTTAATTTTAGTGTAAGGTGTCAGGAAAGGGTCCAGTTTCTGCACATATTTCATTATATGCTTCCTTTAGAAAACTTAAAATAGGCCGGGCACAAAGGCTCATGCCTGTCAGCACTTTGGGAGGCTGAGGCAAGAAGATCACTTGAGGCCATGAGTTCAAGACCAGTCTGGGTAACACAGCGAGACCCTGCCCCCTATCTTTATTAAAAATGAAAAGAATTAGCTGGACACAATGATGCATGCCTGTAGTCCCAGCTACTTGAGAGGCTAAGGTGAGAGGAACCGTGAGCCCAGGAGTTTGAGGCTACAGTGGCTTGTGATTGCACTGCTGCACTCTCAACTCAGTGACAAAGTGAGAAAAAGAAAGAAGAGAAGGAGAGAAACAAAGAAAGAGAAAGGATGGAAGGAAGGGAGGCAGGGAGGTAGGGAGGGAAAACTTACAATATCTAAATGCAAATATAGATATACATATATATTATTTCAAAAATTTTCCTCTATGCATTGTAGTATCTGTGTGTATGATTTAAATAACTTGGCATCCTAGTAAGCACAATTGTGAGTGTTTAGAAAATATGCTTTGAAAGGCAGGTTCAATATTTTATTTTCTTTCAAGAGATGCTATAATTATTAGTAGGAACATACTCTATTACTGATGTTTATCAGTCACTTTTGATGAAAACAACGGAGTAATAACTATGTATAAGAGTTTTCATTAGCCAACACTTTTATGGTAGTTATGCTGCAGAAATGAAAGATGGTAATTATTTTTTGGTAATAAACTCTCCAACATGTAACTGTATTCTGCCAGGTTGTCTTAGAGTTTACTCTCTGAAGATTCTAAATAGAGTAAGTTTTATCAAGAAAGTGCTACCAAGATAGAAAGTAATGCTAACACTCTAAAAGAAAATGAAAAAGGCCGGGCACGGTGCCTCACGCCTGTAATCCCAGCGCTTTAGGAGGCAGAGGTGGGCAGATCATCTAAGATCAGAAGTTCGAGACCAGCCTGGCCAACACAGTGAAACCCCGTCTCTACTAAAAATACAAAATTAGCTGGGCATGGTGGCTTATGCCTGTAATCCCAGATACCTGGGAGGCTGAGGCAGGACAATTGCTTGAACCCAGGAGGAAAAGGTTGCAGTGAGCCACGATCTTGGCTAACACAGTGAAAAACCATTTCTACTAAAAATCTTGTTGCACTCTAGCCTGGGCAACAAGAGCAAAACTCCCTCTCAAAAAAAAAAAAAAAAATTTAAAAAAAAAAAAGGAAAAAAAGTGGCTTCATTATTGTTAAAAGAGATGAAATAAATACATTCTCATTTGATTAGCTTATGACATTAGAAATACAACTGAGTCATAACTCTTATGAACAACCACCTTGACAGAATGCAACATTTGCAAATGAATTCTTATATATTTTTCCAAAAAGTCATTCCACCTGTATTGCAAGTCAGCCTCAGCAAAAGATTAGCCCTTAAGCTGAGAAACATGTGGAACAATGAAACAATGTTCTTGACCAGTTACGTAACTTGCTGGTACTTACTTCAGAGTTATGATACTGGGATTTACAGTCACAAGATTTGTTTTACTGCCAACATCTTTACTAACATCTCCTGTGGTTGGAGGGAGGTTACACCTGAAATTTTAAAAGAAAATTATTTTCAAAATAGAACTTGTTAAGAAAAGATTGTATACACACATATGCACACATACATGTATATATAATAATTGTCCTTATATTGGATAAATCATTGCTATTAAGAGAGCCTCAGAATCCATTTGGTTTCTATTTAAAATGATTTAATGTAGTAATTATTCAGCTCTTAGTTGGCATTTCAATGTTGTATAAAATATACACTTCTTTTTTTTTTTGAGATGGAGTCTTACTCTGTTGCCCAGGCTGGAGTGCAGTGGCACTATCTCAGCTCACTGCAACCTCTACCTCCCAGGTTCAAGTGATTCTCCTGCCTCAGCCCCCTGAATAGGTGAGACTACAGGCATGCACCCGGCTGATTTCTGTATTTTTAGTAGTGACAGGGTATCACCATTTTGGCCAGGCTTGTCTCAATCTCCTGACCTCAAGTGATTCACCTGCTTCGGACTCCTAAAGTGCTGGGATTACAGACATGAGCCACCGTGCCTGGCTTAACTATACAAATTTGATAAATGCTTTCAATATGGACAATAACTTTTATAAGTATCAAAACCAGAAATGACAATTACACCTTGTGTAAGTTTAGAAGAGTTCCCAATCCTTTTATTAAAGTTGTTATTTATATTATTTATGTTAATGATGTTCCCATAGTGGTATGATCACCCATTTGCATGTTCTTAAAACATCGATGCACTGTTACTAAAGTTATACAGTCTGCCAGAAGCAAAGACTACATTAAAAAAGCAAAACTTCCCAATTCCCATGCGGATAGTTTTGCCACCAAATTATGGTGTTAATAAATAAAATCCTAATGTTCTTACAGTGATGTTTTTCATACTGATGTTCTCATCTTCCTCTGAGTACTAATTTGCTTTTAAATTGGAAAACAAAATACGAATTCTAATTTTGAGTAATTATATCCTTGTCACAAAAAAGGAAAACTTGGTTATGACTTTCTAAATCTCATTTACTGAAGTTCAAGTAGTAAAAACATAAGAAGGGAGCATCCTGGAGTGCTTCCTGAAAAAGGCTATTCAAAGCTCATGTGATCTGTAACACGACTGAGGATGAAATACGTCATTCTATGTTCCATAAAACACACGAGGCCAGGCGTGGTGGCTCATGCCTGTAATCCCAGCACTTTGGGAGGCCGAGGTGGGCGGATCACCACGTCAGGAGGTCAAGACCATCCTGGCTAACACAGTGAAAAACCGTCTCTACTAAAAACACAAAAAATTAGCCGGGAGTGGTGGCACATGCCTGTAGTCCCAGCTACTCGGGAGGCTGAAAGAAGAGAATCACTTGAACCTGGGAGGCAGAGGTTGCAGTGAGCCGAGATCACACCATTGCACTCTAGCCTGAACGACAGAGAAGACTCCCTCTCAAAAAACAAGAACGAATTAATTAAACATAAACTTCCTCCCTCATTGATATAAAAGCTATGTCAGAAAATGAAATAAATATGGCACCTTGGCAAAATAAATATTAATCAAATATTAATAATAAATATTAAATGATAAAGATTAATCATAGGTACTAGGCCACAAAAGTGACCTCGCTAGTGGGCCTCCTATAAATAATGCCCTTTCTAGAACAGTGTCATATTCTTTTGAAGAATCAAACATGATTTCTAGTAGAATATTATAGGAGACTCCATAGGAAAGGGTGTTTTATAGAGGAAATACAATAAGTTTCGGCTTAAAACTTAAAAAAATCTCAGTAGATAGTTAATTTATGAATCTAAAATAAATGCCTGTGTTTCTAGATTCTATTTTTGCTGATGGCAGGTATTTTCCTGAATATAGAGTACACACACACACACACACACACACACAAACACACATACAGACACACACAAAGAGTAGTATAGGTCATGGCATGTATTATACATACATACATATTAAATTTAAATTATATAACAGTATATGTTATTTTATTAAAATTATACTGTTAAAATTAAATTATATAACAGTATACATATAATATGCATCTATTATATATTATGTATACATACATAAATATACTGTTATATAATTTTATTATATAATATGTATATAATGTGTAATATATGTATACATATTAAACATATAACATGTAACACTGCTATATAATTATATATGTATATATGTAATATATACATATAATATGTATGCATATTATATATACATATTATATACAATATGCATAATACTATATATTATATATACATATTAGGTAACATATACTATGCATACATATTATACTGTATTATATAATACTGTATTATACAGGATATATACATATACTATTATTTACATATAATACTGCATTGGTTTATATGCAAATATATGTATTATATATAGATACTATTATTTACCTATAATACTATAATTACATATAATACTATATTATATAGTACTATATATATATATAGTATTTACCAAAGTAAATATAGGCTTAGAATACGAAATAGATTTTAGTGACACCAAACACATCTAGCCCTCACTTTGCCTTTCAGTTTGAATGGCTAGCTTTACAGGAAATTCTATATTCAGGAAAACACCCATCATCACCAAATATGTAATCTACATATGCAGACAGTTGTTTTAGAATTATAAATTAAATATCTGCTGAGTTTTTTTCTTCTGGGTTTTAAACCAAAACTTCTTCTATTGCCTATACTTGCTATAAAGTATAATGAATGTTTAGGCCTGATCCTCATCACAGATGTTTTCAGAATTTTAAGCCTATAAAAAGTCTACTGAAAGAAGAATTATCTTCCTTATGGCTTTTTCACACTGAGTACTTGAACAAAATGGCTCAACCATTCAGATATTGACCGTTCTAATACTAATCATGAAGAAGACATTCAACAGTTGTTGCACTGTCAGGCCTATTGTTGCTTCATAATCACCTTCAACACAAAATTTAAAAATGAGATTAAAGTTAGAAAACAGGGTTTCTAAGCTGTTTGTCAGAAACCCTGTTTCTTTTTCAATTGCTTGAAAGGGCCGCATTAAATCAAGAAAGATCAAAGGGTCCCGTCTGATGTATGAAATCAGTGCTCCTAAAACAGAAGAACCAGACTTCCACTTACTCTTTAAAAAGGCTCATTTCAATTGAAACCCATCTTCAGATGGATGAATTACCTTTCCATCAGGCTGAGAAAGTAGAGATGCTTTGGTGTGGCTTATTAATACAAGGCATGCATAAAACCCACTGTTTCTATTTTTGTATGCTGGCTGATACGGAGATAGAAAACATTTTAAAAGACCAGAACTTAGAAACTATACAACTTTGTTTTTTAAATTGCAAGCCAGAAAATGAAACATTACTATAGTTTGCATGGCTATAAAATGTCTTGATCAGGATTTTCCCGAGTATTGTCTGAGAACAAAACATCCTTAAAATATTCTGCTAAACAAAAACAAAAACAAACAAATGAAAAAGGATCTTCAAGGTCAAGTAAGCCTGGGTTATGTCGCCCTCCAGAGTCCTCCCAAAGTAGCCATGGTACCCATTAAGAGACTGAACGCTCTGAAAAGTCCTGCAATACAAAACCCTCTTTCACCACCACTCTTTTCGCCCAGCGTTTCCTAAACATATATCACCATAGCACATTTTGATTCTTCAGATATTGACATTCTCAGGAACTCAGGAGCCATACAATACTTCAGGAAACCCTTCCTGGATAATTAGTAGACTTTTGTAACAGAGCGCAAAGGTCAAAATACACAAAGGATATGGTTACACTAACCCTCTAAAATACCCAACTCATCTTTTGTTTCAAAGAAACCAATTTGACAGGTCTTACCTAAAAACGAAGTCGGATTTATCTATCTCAGCTCCGCAGAGAGACTTATTCAGAATTCCCCCATTTCCAACCACCGCACACTGATTATAAGGGTAATCCACAAAAGGCTGGGACTGGTAGGAGAAAGTAGAAAACTACCATGAAATACCATTAATTTTAGAACCACAGACTTCAGTTTAATTCTAGTAACTTAACTTTTTATACATGCTAAGGAGAAGAATAAGAACAAGGGACCAGGCGCAATGGCTCACGCCTATAATCTCAGCACACTGGAAGGCCGAGGAGAGTGGATCACCTGAGGTCAGGAGTTTGAGACCAGCCTGGCCAACACAGTGAAACCCTGTCTCTACTAAAAATACAAAAGTTAGCCAGGCATGGTGGCAGGCACCTGTAATCCCAGCTACATGGGAGGCTGAGGCAGGAGAATCGCTTGAACCCAAGAGGCAGAGGTTAGAGTGAGCTGAGATCACGCCATTGTGCTCCAGCCTGGGTGAGAGTGGGAGACTCCTCAAAAAAAAAAAAACAACAACAACAACAAGGAAAAGCAGCAGCACAGTTTGCTAATCAACTTATGACTTTATATAAAACACCAGCCCAATGCAGTGGCTCACATCTGTAATTCCAGCACTTTGGAAGGCCAAAGTGGGTGAATCACAAGGTCAGGAGTTAAAGACCAGCCTAGCCAATATGGTAAAACCCCTTCTCCACTAAAAATACAAAAATTAGCTAGGCGTGGTGGCGGGTGCCTGTATTTCCAGCTGCTGGGGAGGCTAAGGCAGGAGAATCACTTGAACCTGGGAGGCAGAGATTGCAGTGAGCCAAGATCGCACTACTGCACTACATACAGCCTGAGTGAAAGAGGGAGACTTCATCTCAAAGAAATGTGTGTGTGTGTGTGTGTGTGTGTGTGTGTGTGTAGTGTGTGTATATATGTAAAATAAAATAAAAAATCATTATATGAACCTAAGTTTGATTTCTCTTGAGAGAAACAGACATCATATACAACATAATGTAATAATACAAAATGCAGTATCATGTATTTTACATGGCATGATTAAGGAAAAAAATTAGAATGGCAAAATCCCATATTCCACCTTCCTGATAAACAAGGACATTTTCAGCAAGAAGGAGAGAAAATAAAGAAATTAGGAAGCAGCATTAAATCTACTTTAAGGCATAAAATTAATAGGTGATTTAGCAAAAATTTCCTGTGCTTCTTAAATAGTTAGACCTTCAGGCTCAGTAATGGCATTAGATTTATGTCTGCCATCTCTGTGAATGACCAGCCAGTGTGCTTCAGGGAGGCCTACTAACTGTACTGACATATTTCAAATTAATTTCCAAGACCTCAATCTTTTTTATTCCTTTTAGGACCCGACCTGCTTACCCCAGAGGGTTTCCTATTTTCCCCAAGTTCTCTATGGCCTGAAATCTAACTTTTCAATTCAGTGGTGCACTTTCACTTTCCTGGTCACTTTCTGTGAAGTAATAATGTGACCCTGGGCCCACAGCCAGGGTCCCAGCTCATGCTTCTCTGTGATGAGGTCCCGATCCACCGATTTTGTCTCTAGGATTAAGGTGTAAGTCCTCAAGAGCAGAGAGGCTGTTTACTAGTTTTAATTTCCCCTCATTTTTCCCTCCTGCTCTTGCACAGTGCAATGTGTACAGCTTTCAATACTCATCTCATGAGCTTTCAACAAGCTCTCCCGCCTTCTCACTAGGTGGCTTTGAGGATAAATCTTATTTCTTTTGCAAAACTGGTATCATGGTCATTAATTTACTGCACATGTGCAGAATGAACCTGGCCCTGGCCTGTAACCACTGAAGGGGCCACTAGTAAATATTCAGGAATTTTGTGAGCTGGTATTTAACCATTGGTAACTAAAAATTTTCCAGGATAGGGATATTGATGCCACTGAAGTTGCCAAAGTTTACAAAAGCAAGGCACATCACCCTTGCCAAAGGCAATTTATGAGCCCCACTGGCAATAGCCCAAGGCTGACATGGTTCTGAGCAGCCCAGAGTGACAGAAGATGCCCCAGAACTACCGTGGCTGCTGTCTTCCCTGATGCTGGCTCTGGGAGCTGCCCACCTAGCACAGAAACTTGGTTTCAGTACATCTCTCTTTGTAGTTTTGTCTTTGAAATGTAAAAGTCCTATTGCACTTTTTATGCAAGAGGCACTATTTCAAGTTCGTACTTTATTAGCACATTTAACCTAGACAGCAACCTTTTGAGTGTTTTACAGATAGGAAAAGGCAGGCATGAGTCCAAGTAACAGCTAGAGAGTGGCAGGACTGGAATAGGAACCCAGTTTGCTCCAGAGTACACGCTTTAAACCACTACACATTATAGTTTCTCACAATTCTGTGGATTAAAATAACTGAATAACGTGTCCTATTTCTTGTTATATCTGCAATGCCTAGCACAGTGACTGGCTCTAAAAAGAACAGTTCTCAGATACCTCAGGCTATTTCATGTCATTCAACTTCTAGGTCAACATGTCTTCAGCCAGTATCTACTAAATGGTGCCACCATAAATTCTGAATTTTATAGATAGGGTAGGATGCAAAAATGCAAATAGGCTCTTTATGGTATAAAATGGAAAAGATTACTGAAGGAAACATATCTCACATGATGCACTGACAATAATGAATGTTTTTCTCTGGTTTCTTGGTCAACTGAGAGGAAAACATCTATATGCTTTAGTATCTCATGTTCAGTAAGAATTTAAACAAATTACAAACTTCAACGTTTCCTTAAATAAACCTCCCAAGAAAATGCAAATTTGCATGCTCCACTGCCTGCTCATTGCTCACTCGGGTTGAGCTCACCAAATCGACTTTTGTTTTTTTTCTCTGCAAGTAACTTAGCAAAGTTTGTGGAGGAAGTGGCTCCACATCATTTCCTGAAAACATTTAATGCAGTCTTCCATGTGCTCAGCAGTTCGTCCTGGAGAGTTGTGTGCAGAAGGGCAGAGTAAAGCAAGGTGGGAAAGAGGACCTCCCCACCACGAGCCCCGTCCATGAAAGGAGAAGGCTAGAGAAACACACACAGAAAAGGGACCTGGCTCTGCAACTGGTGTCCTACTGACTGGAAAATTTCCTCTCCCCAGTTAAAAAATAATCAGTATACATTTGGAAAGCGGATGCAATGACCAGTTGCATACATATTTATCAAGTCTTTATTAAGTCAATCCTTTCAAAGCACCAAATAAGAGGTAAAGTGGTTGCTGCTCCTCTGTTCTGGTCAGTCAGAAACAAGGCAAACACTGGCAAAACCTGCATGGATGAATGAGTGAAAGAGCTGCTCACTATCAAACTTTCCAAGGCTTTCCCTGATAGGAAAGATCAATTGTGGGATTCACTCAGGGTGGTGGCAAAAACATTAGCGAAAGTTATAGAATATAGTCTCAAACTCTTTTGGAAGGCCTAAGGGTCTTTTCTATACTTCTTGGCTGAAGGCAGCCAGAGTCTCTTTGCAGGAGCCAGAGAGATGAGGGCAAAAATACCAAGGAATGTGAGTGGTTTACCTAACTAACTTGTTTACTCATGTGGTCTTAACACTAGCCTTTGGGCCAGAAAATCCTCTGGGGAGGTTAGGGAAGGAGGTTTACCAGGGATATTACCCACTAATGGTGGTTTGCTTTGGGCATGGGCTCTTTCTTTTAATCTTTTCACTCTAGTGGTGTTGACTCAAGCCTTTGTCAATTAAACTTTACTGAATAAATGCAAGGCTCACTGGCTGGAGGGGGCCCGAGGTCACAACTGTTTACAGCACTCTCCAGGGTGCCTGTAAGCCACTGGTACACACTCAAACTGTCAAAGCATAATATCTGTGTGTGAGTGTACTTGATTCATCCGCCATTGAGTCGGGGTCTGCAGGACAGACCCCCGCAGGTGGTGACCCCAACAAGAAATACTCTTGCATTATCATGTTTTCAATCACTGCTCTTTTCAGTGTATCATGAGAATGCTCTGAGTTATAATTTTTGTCCCCCTTTCCTTCCAGAAAATTTACAGTATTTTTCCTCTATCATTTTCTATTTATTTCTCACTCATGCTCAGCAAGTTATTCTCCCTCTGAATCCTAATATATAAAAAAAACTGGAACAACTTACATAAGCAACAAAAAATTAGCTGAAAGAAGTCAAGGCTCCAACAAAAGAAAACTGTGAGAGTCTCATATCCCACAGCTGGTACACTGCATATAGAGTGATCCCATTTTGACCGTCTTGACGTGGCCTAATTGCTTTTCAATCAAATCATAGATCATAGAAAGATGCTGGAGAATGTATGTTTATAAGCAATGAGATGTTTATGTCCTTCAGAGCCAAAATTTCCCCAAGTCAAGTTTCTCCCCACTGTGTCAAGCAGTTTTAGATCATATCATTACTCATTTTTCTAATTTTACAAATAGGTAGTGAGTGTATGTGTGTACTGGGAAATGTCCTAGGGGTTTGGGATACATCACTAGACACAGCAGAAAAAAATCTCTATCTTATGGTGGGCATGTTTATTGACTATAAATTCTTACATGTTTACTTCCCAAAGATGAGTCACATAAATGAACTGTTCCTTGCGAAGGAATTGATTTAGTCACCATAACTGACAATTGGAAGAATCTTATTTGAGGTGAAAAATGGCCATCTTCACAAGCCTCGGTAACTACTCAGCAGAAAGCCCAAGTGTCTCATCTTATTTGAAGAAGAGTCTGGAAGACTCAGAACTAGAAGAGCTTATCATTTAAGATATAAATATTCCTTCCCCGCAGAGCTGCACTGCATTCAAAAGGGCCTGTTTAAAAGATGGCCCACTATCCAAATTTTATACAACATAACAGTGTGGTATTTTAATTAATTCCATCATAATTTTAAGTTATAGCTTAAAGTAAGGGAAAATTTACCTGGGGTGGTAACGCAAATAACCCACCACGAATCTTTACTCACCACTGGAAACATATGAAAAATGTTCTCTTTAATTGGGATTTCTTTTTTGCTTTCCACCTCGTAACTCATGTTAGTCCCAACTGGAGTGTTATTCTGAGAAACAACAAAGTTTTGAACAGCATCACAGCAGGAAGCAAGTTTTGCTCTGCAAAGGATAAGAATAAAAAGGAAGCAATGGTATAAGATTAAGAAACCAAAAATAGAGACCACAATGGAGGATGCAAAGGAGGATTTTGCCATACTGACTTTCAAAAAGAAGATAATTATTCACAAAGATGGCTTTCTTTTTTTCCCTCCAGGCTCTATATCCCTTGAGGATTGAGACTGACTCTCTTTTCTTTCTTTTTGTCTTTTGCTTTAATCTTATTTTAACTTCTTTTTAAAATTTTTCTTATTTTACTTTAAGTTCTGGGGTACATGTGCAGATCATGCAGGTCTGTCACATGGGTTTACATGTGCCAAGGTCGTTTGCTGCATCTATTAACCCATCATCTAGGTTTTAAGCCCTGCATGCCTTAGGTGTTTATCCTAATGCTCTCCTTCCCCTTGCCTCCACCCCGTAACAGGCCCCAGTGTGTGATGTTCCCCTCCCTGTGTCCATGTGTTCTCATCGTTCAACTCCCACTTATGAGTGAGAACATGTGGTGTTTGGTTTTCTGCTTCTGTGTTAGTTTGCTGAAGATGGTGGCTTCCAGCTTCATCCATATCCCCGCAATGGACATGATCTCATTCTTTTTATGGCTGTGTAGTATTCCATGGTTTATACATACCACATTTTCTTTATCCAATCTATCATTGATGGGCATTTGGACTGGTTCTATGTGTTTCATATTGTAAATTGAGCTGCAGCAAACATATGTGTACATGTGTCTTTATAGCAGAATGATTTATATTTCTTTGTGTATATACCCAGTAATGGGATTGCTGGGTCAAATGCTATTTCTGGTTCTAGATCCTTGAAGAATTACCCACACAGTCTTCCACAATGGTTGAGCTAATTTATGTTCCCACCGATACTGTAAAAGCACTCCTATTTCTTTACAGCCTCACCCTCTGCCTCCTGGGTTCAGACAATTCCCCGCCTCAGCCTCCTTGGTAGCTGGGATTACAAGTGTGTACCACCCACACCCCGCTAATTTTTTTTAGTAGAGACAGGGTTTTACCATGTTGGCCAGGCTGGTCTTGAACCCCTGACCTCAAGTGATCTGCCCACCTCAGCCTCCCAATGTGTTCTTTCTTGATATTTTAACAATTACCATTCTGACTGGTGTGAGATTATATTTCACTGTGGTTTTGATTTGCATTTCTCTAATAATCAGTGACAATGAGCTGTTAAATTATGTTTGTTGTCTGCATAAATGTCTTCTTTTGAGAAGTGTCTGTTCATATCCTTTGTCCACTTTTTGATGGTGTTGTTCCTTTTTTTTTCTCATAATTTGTTTAAGTTCCTTGTAGATTCTGAATATCAAACCTTTGTCAGATGTGTAGATGGCAAAAATCCCATTCTGTAGGTTGCCCATTCGCTCTGTGCTAGCTTCTTTTGCTATGCAGAAGCTCTCTAGTTTAAAATCAGTGGGTAAAAATTACAAGCATTTCTATACACCAACAACAGACAATCAGAGAGCCAAATAATGAATGAACTTCCATTTATAATTGCCACAAAGGGAATAAAATACCTAGAAATACAGCTTACAGGGAATGTGGAGTACTTCTTCAAAGAGAACTACAAACCACTGCTCAAGGAAATAAGAGGGGACCCAGGCAAATAGAAAAACATTCTATCCTCATGGAAAGAATCAATATTATAAAAATGGCCATACTGCCCAAAATAATTTATAGATTCAATGCTATTCCCATCAAACTGCCACTGATATTCTTCACAGAATTAGAAAAAACTACTTTAAATTTCGCATGGAAGTGGAACCAAAAAAGAGCCCATATAGCCAAGATAATCCTAAGCAAAAAAGAACAAAGCTGGAGGCATCATGCTGCTTGACTTCAAACTGTACTTCAAGGCTACAGTAATCAAAACAGCATGGTACTGGTAGCAAAACAAACATATAGATTAATGGAACAGAACAGAGACCTCAGAAATAACACCACACATGTACAACCATCTGATCTTCAACAAACCTGACAAAAAACAAGCAATGGGGAAAGGATTCCATATTTAATAAACGGTGCCGGGAAAATTGGCTAGCTTTATGCAGAAAACTGAAACTGGACCCCTTCCTTATACCTTATACAAAAATTAACTCAAGGTGGATTAAAGACTTAAATGTAAAATAAAAACCTTAGAAGAAAATCTAGGCAATATCACTCAGGACACAGGTAGGTGCAAAGACTTCATGACAGAAACATTAAAAGCAACTGAAACAAAAGTCTTTTTTTTTTTGCAGCGGAATCTTACTCTGTCCCCAAGGCTGGAGTACAGTGTCACAATCTCAGCTGACCGCAAACTCTGCTTCCTGGGTTCAAGCAATTCTCCTGCCTCAGCCTCCTGAGTAGCTAGGAACAGGTACCTGTTACCATGCCTGACTAATTTTTGTATTTTTGGTAAAGACAGGGGTGCCACCATGTTGGCCAGGCTGGTCTTGAACTCCTGGCCTCATGTGCTCTGCGCCCTCAGCCTCCCAAAGTGTTGAGATTACAGGCGTGAGCCACTGCACCTGATAGTTTTTTTTAAATCTCACTAGACTTCTAACTGGGAGCTTGGTGACGAGGCAAGATAAATGGCAAAGCAGTTAAACATACTTATACTCAGATAAGAACCTTCTCACCAATGGAAAATGCTCATGAACATAACATTTTTAAAAATACAAACTTCCTTCTGATGATATTGTTATAATACTAAAGACAAAAAATGAGAGGATACATTATAATGCTTTTATAATAATTATAAAATATAGAAATTAAGTAACAGTATGACAGTCACTAAAAAAATATGTAATCATTTATTATGAGACAACCCCAGTGGAAAAAAGAATTATCTAATACAATGAATTTTTAAGTGAGGTGAATTTAAAGTTGCCATTCTGTATAGAAAGCCCAGAGAAGCATAAATAATTCCCAAGCTATATTTCAAAATGATTACCATGGAGTGAAACACTATTATCAGAATGCAGACCTAGGAAGTTGTTTCAAGGATCAACCTCTGGCAGGGGTAGATGTAGAACCACTTAGAATTCCTATTTCATGTCTTTAATTCTCCAATGATGTAGATTCCTTAAAGTCTCTTGATAATTATTCCAGGGTTTAATCAAACTTAAAGTCAAAGAGATTTCTGCATTTGCACAACGAAGCTACATCTTAACGTAAATCTATTTTCCTTGTTAGGTTTTCATACATTCTTCTTATAAAAATACTTCATGTACTTGAAAATGGAAATCAAGCAAAGCTTTAGCCTTTTTCAGTCTTGAAGTGTTCATGGAAATTTCTCTTCTCTCAGGTTTTCCTCATAGGACCAGTTTTTCATTATTTTAGTTATCTTGTTTCTCTTTAAATCTCTACTTATTTCTCCATATTACTTAAAAATCTGTATCCAAGCCGGATCAAATCACAAGACAAGAGACAGTGAATATTCACCAAGAAATGTTGATGATAATGAGTCATTAGAAATGGTCTTTCTTGGGGCCACACTTCTGTTATTGGTTTGGTCCTGAAAAGGAACTTCCATACATGTTTTTACTGAATTTTGCCCTTTTGAAAAAATATAATGCTCTAATTTGTCAAGGTCATTTTAAACTTACTCTTCTGAATCCCAATAATTCTCAAGGCATGAAAAGTAAAGGTGATATTTACACCTCAAACTTAACGTTTTCAACAATACTGCTTATCAGTTAACTAAAGTAAGTTAAAATATTCATTAAAATAGTATATCCTTCTTAATTGGATTCTGTCACCCACTTATTATTTCTTTTTGTATTTTACAACCTACCATTTAGAAAAGATAGTTCACGGAGATTTACAAAAGAAAGAAAATGAAAATGAAATGGTATGTAGTCAAAAACACGATACTAGGTGGTTTTTAATTATACATTTAATTTGATAAAAACTTGAGTGACATATTGCAAATTTAGAAATTCTCAGGTCTATATAATTTTTAATGGCTCTTTTATCTAGCATTTTGAGAACAGACAACACAATAAATTCTCATTTACCTTTGGCAAGTAATTTCTCTTAGGATATTCAGGGCCTACAAGAATATGGCATCAGCAGAAATACTAAATCAGATCTCCCCTTATGCTTTTTAAAAAAATTAAGAGTTTTTGCTGACTTTTTTTTTTTTTTTTTTTTTGAGATAGAGTTTCCGTGTCACCCAGGCTGGAGTGCAGTGGTGGTTCAAGCGATTCTCCTACCTCAGTCTCTCAAGTAGCTGGGACTACAGCCGTGCACCACCATGCCTGGCTTATGCTTTGTATTTTTAGTAGAAATGTGGTTTCAGCATGTTGGCCAGGCTTGTCTCAAGCTCCTGACCTCAAGTGATTTGCCCGCTTTAGCCTCCAGAAGTGCTGGGATTATTGGCCTGAATCACTGTACTAGGTAGGCCTTTTTCTGAAATTATATATTTTAAATATCATATAAAATTTCCAAACCTAAAGGAAAGTTAAAATAACTGGACAATAAGCACTCGAATAACCCACAGCTAGATTTCACAATTAATTTTTCACTATATTTGCCTTATGGTGTATTATCCACTAACCAATTTCATTGTTATAGTTGCTGCAATTTGAAGTAAACTGTAGCTCTGAGTACACGTCACCTTGAAACACTTCCGATCTCCAGACCCTCCGCCAAACCCCAGAGGACACTTTTGTGATGATTTTTCACCATAGGTTACTTTTGCCTGTTCTAGTATATGAAGACAATTAATTATATCACATGTATGCTTTTTTTTTTATTGAGACGGAGTCTCACTCTGTCACCTAGGCTGGAGTGCAATGGTGTGATCTCAGCTCACTGCAACCTCCACCTCCAAGATTCAAGTGATTCTCCTGTCTCAGACTCCTGAATAGCTGAGATTACAGGCACCTGCCAACACACCCCACTAATTTTTGTATTTTTAGTAGAGGTGGGGTTTTACCATGTTGGCCAGGCTGGTTTTGAACTCCTGACCTCAGGTGATCCATCTGCCTCGGCCTCTCA